GACAATGAACCTACTGATAGACCTGACAATGAACCTACTGACGGACCTGACAATGAACCTACTGATAGACCTGACAATGAACCTACTGACGGACCTGACAATGAACCTACTGATAGACCTGACAATGAACCTACTGACGGACCTGACAATGAACCTACTGACGGACCTGACATTGGACCTACAGATGCAAATGCGTCTTTCAAATGTCTATTTACTCTGAACTCACGTCTCTGGAGGTCATGTGAGATTTTTCGTCCGACATCTGAATTCTTGCGAGATTTCAGGAAGTCTCACATGATTTAATGTCTGACAGTTCATGAATGAAATATCTTTTTGTGTGTGGTGTGTTATCTCTTGCCGTGTGGCTGTACACCACACACTGTAGGACCAAACCTGGTATTTTCATGATTTTTTATCCTCATGTGTGGGCTCTGTCAGTCTTTGAAAATCAGCCGACTGTTTTAAAATCTTGTAGTGTGACTCAGCCTTACTTACTGTAAGTTTAGGGACATTTTAAAGAAGGTTCGCAGATCTTTAGTCTGTGCTTGGCACAATGTTACACAATATCAGAATCTACATCAATCATGCTTTTACATATTTAACACAGTATCCTCTCTGTTTGACCAATGCCAKTAGACTGGAAATGACTCGGATGCTTTGGAGATGTTCTGGTCTGAACTTTGTCTTGTGTTGCCAAATTTACCTGCAGAGGATTTATTTACTAGTTGTATTATATACATTACTAGAGCTAAACTGGAAATCTGCAGCTCCACCTACAGGTCCTTGTTTTCCTAAATTGAAAACAATCAGGCTGACTCTGGTCAGTAAAGATGGATCACTGTTCTACAGTAACAGTTCAGATCCTTTCATAGCTCTAAGAGGAACAACCTTCCTTGGTTGAATAAAAATATTCTGAGATTAATGAAAGAACGGGACCATGCTTTAAAATTAGTAAGTAGTAGTAGGAATCATTTTGTCACTTTAAAACAATTTTTAAAAAATCAAAAGCTAAGGCTGTTTTTTTTTAGTTGCTGCCTTGTACAGTGCAAAGGGAAATTATAAAATAATTTGGACCACATTAAAAAATTTTACTGGGCAATACTAAAAAAATAGAAAAAAAAGGAAATTCACTTAAATGGTAAAATCATAAAAGGAGCCAAATGTAATTGAAGAGCTTTTAATCATCATTTTACTGATTCTGTGACCGACTTCTCCCAAACTTTTACTAAACAAGATAAAGTTTAACCAGTAGTGGCCACTGAACAGTCCTTTTCAACAGAAAACATAGAGACATAAGTCCTAAACATTATAAACACACTTAAACCTCAAAGGCTAAAGATGTCTTTGGACTCATGGTCACTTGGGTTCAGTTCTTGTTTGCTCTATCACCTCCAATATTAACCTTTTCTGTCTCAGCTGGGTGCTTCCCAGATAGTTGCTCCTGTATTTAAAACTGGTGACTCAATGTTTTTAAACAATTACTGACCCATACGTATTCTTCCAACTATTACTAAAATTGCAGTGAAATGGTTCCCTGAACAAACTGTCCATCATCTAGACAATAGCTCTTCTCTCCAACGTGTGCAGTTCGACTTTCGGGCCAAACATCCTACTGCGACAGCTACATGCTTGTTTGTAGAGAAAATAAAAGCATCTCTAGACTTGGGTGGTGTTGTAGGGGCAGTATTTTTAGACCTTAGGAAAGCTTTTGATACAGTAAATCATTCATCATATATTTGTATTGTATTGTTATTTTTACTTTTAGCAGTAATATTTTTTTCCTAAAGGGCCAATATTATGTGTTTTTCAGGCATAT